GCGGCTAAGAGCTGAAAAGCCCCACCTGTGCCTCAGAGTTTCTAGCAGGCCGGACCCAGGGCCGTCAGCTAGGAGTCAACCTCCCACCCTCCCCTTCCCAGAGGATGCGACTGCCACGCAGCGCCAGACCTCATCCCACCCCAATCTCTATACAATGACGTCTGACTGTTCATAGGCAGGGAGCAGTGGCAGCTCGGTCTCAAGTTGTCAAGTCAGGCCACAATTCCACAGATCTCTGGAGGTGGGCGTTTCCTTTGAGACCCACCATTGTGCTGCCACCCTTCACTGGAAGGGAGAGGGGTCCTGCAAACACTTCTCTGTCCCTCTCTGGACTGTGTGATTCTGGCAAAATGTTCTTTAGTACTGGGATCTGTTTATTAGAATGTATGGTGAAATAGTGCCCAATGGGTGTGTCATTTCGCTGATGCCCAACCTCCAGATATACCCAATTAAAAGCACTTTCATTGGACTCCTGGGCCTTTCCTGTTCCTCCCAAACAGAGTAGAGGGGAGATTCCTCATGCTGTGTGACCACCCTGTTTCCCCCAAAACTGTACTCCGCCATGACACTTGGGGCAAAGCACCCATTTTGAAGAGATCTCAAAATATTCTTTCCAAGAGGCCCACAGGAAGGCAAAGAGAACTTTCCCACTTAGGCAGAAGGGCACTGGCTCAGGGAGTGGGGCTTTGCATTTTGTGAAGTGAAATACCCAGTTAAGGCTCCAGTGACAAGGGATCGCCTCATCTTTTTGTTATTGTTTTACTACAATAGTTCATTATTTCCCCAAGATGTAAGGAGATGCATACTGTGCTTTTAAACACATATCCCCCACGTAGTGCAATGTGTTCCCTGGCTCACAGCAATCCCAGGCCTTGTCTGTTGTCCCATGAAAAGAGCCTTTTGCAGGACACCCAGTGGGGGGCAACAGGATCCCTCCCCCATCCGTCATTGACCAAGCAACCAGGAGGCTTCCCTTGGGTGTGCCTGCCTCTCATAAAAACTCTCCCCTGAATACAGAGGAAACTTTTTTTAAAATGTCTGTATATAGTATACATAAATAAAGGCTATATATGTATAGATATATGAAAATTATATATATATATATAAATATACAAATTTATGTCTTGTTTTACAAATAAGGAAGAGTAAATATACTAATCTTAATATCAAACTTGTTGTTTGTCAAGTTTCTTTTAGGGCTGTATGAAATTTCTCAAAGATAAGGGGACTGGCGAAGAGGGAAGCTGAGGATCAAAGCCCCCTGGGAAGCTTGGAAGTGCTCTGCAGTGTAGTTACAGAAATAGTGTGTTGTTCTGATGTCTTGCAAAGGGTATCCTAAAACTGGATGTGGCTCAGTTTAGAACGATCAAGGGGTTGAAGCATCTTCCATACACAGCAAACCTATAGCATTTGGGGCCCTTTAAGAAATAAAAGAAATTAATGTAAAGGGACATGGTACAGGTTTATAAAATTGAAAATGGTATGACTAGGACAAAAAATCCCCCCCCTTACATTGCAAAAAAAAAAAAGTTAAAAATAAGCACTTATTTTACATAATCTGAAATTTACAAAATTCCATGCTATAGTCCCTTAGGTGACAAGAGTTTTAAAACTTAGAAAGTAGACTGGTTCTGTACATGAAGGCACTCCATTTAGCTGTTGGGGGTGGTAGTACCTATTGACAGGCTGGTTCTCCATTAATGCCTAATCCCCCCCCCCTTTTTAAATAAAAAAGACAAATTAAATGGTAAATGGAGTGCTTCCATGCACAGAAGTAGTGTTCATTTGAGTACCAGGTGCTGGGACCAAACAAGGCATAGCTATCACTTTAATGTTGGTTTAGAGTTCCCAGAGCATCTGACTGGCTATTTCTGGAAGCCACGTTGGCCAAGGCAGACCTTTAGTCCCTTCTGCAACGTACACAGAGTTTTCTGGCCCCTGGGATTGACTCTCTGACACCAGCTAATAACTTGCCCTTAGCAATCCAGGCAGCTTATTCCATAAAGTGATAATAAGTGTACAGTCATCTCCCCCAAAGAGGCAGTCCAAGTGACTTCGGGAGGGTTGTGGGAGCCAAGAATCAGAAGATGCTTGCATGGTTTGTTCTGTTTTTGTCAGCAAAGGAGAGCAAATTAAGAATTCCTCCCAGTGTCATCTTAAGGCCAACAAAGACAGTTCTAGATGAGGCCAGGCTGGGTTCAATGGAACCTTAGTTATTTTGTAAGCAGAGCGGTGTTTAACGAAAGAAACTCTAAATTTAGAATGCAGTGTTACCAGGCCCTGCAAACACGTGAACATACATTCAGATTAACATGGGAAAATAGCTTGTGTGTTTGTGCAGGGTGCAGAAAACTGGGATCTTTTTCCTGTAGAGGTGTCTGTGAGTAGCAAGTATTCAATAGAAAAAAGGATGACAGAGACCTGATTTAAAAGGAATACCGGGTTTATTTAGGGATTTCGTACAATGGGGGAGGGGACTTATCCTAAGCAAATGCTAGCAGTACTAAATCAAAGCACAGACACATTACCTATGCTAATAAATATAGCAACAACTAAATATTCAGCAGAGCTACTTCAAATTAGAGCAGGAGTTGCTCTTTGAACTAAAGGTGTACATGCCGGAAAATGGGGAATAGGGGAGAAGTGAAAGCACTTGGAACGTAAGTGTCCAGTATTCCAGATGTGAGGGTAAAGAGCAGAGAGGAGCAAAGTGCCAGCTCTCTGTATGGTGAAAGTGTGGTATGGAAAATAAGGGGGGGATAGATCAAGATGGAGAGCAAAGATTACCTATCCTATTCTGTAAAGAAATCAGATGAAAGGAGACTTGCTCATGATGTTACAGATGCAGTACATACATTCAGGGAGGGAGGGTGAGTGTGCAGATGGGGGGGGGCTGGCAACACTACCTCTGCAGCCTGACTCCAACTAGTCCTTCTTTGTAACACGCCTCCCATGTGCTGGCTGGCCTGGGTATAAGGGCTGATGGCTCTTTATGCTGATTTGTATCTGACGGACAGCACCATCCTAAGAACACTTACCTGGGAGTAAATCCCATTGAATAGACCATAGTGGAAAATTGAGTAGACCTGCTTAAGATTGCTCTCAGTGAGCTTTGGCTCACTACAGCTTATACTGTGGAAAATTGTGTTCTGTAAGGTGGTACTGGATGAGAATTTTGTTCTATATTCAGAATGAACAGTCTTCAACAGAATAAACTATTTTCTGAACAGCACCCATATTTTTAAAGCTAGAAACATGCACACTCTTTATTTATAGTCCACCTTTCTCACTTGAACTCAAGGCGGATGATTACACAGAGTGAGCCAATACAATGGAAGGATGGGACATTCAGGTCCCGGTCACACAGGCCAGATATTGCGGGGGGGGCTAATTGCCCCAGCGCAGTTTGATGCACGATTACACGATCAGACGCGCCGGCGGCACACCATGGGTCCTTCCCTCGGCGCCGGCGGGTAAACGAAGGACCGGAGGGGAATGCTGCACGCTGGCGCGATCACACCACGGGTGTCTAGAGGCAGCCCATGGCAAACGTTTACTAGTACCTTGGAGGTACTAGTATTTTAAGGCGCATTGTTGGCGGTAAGCCACCGGTGCGCTCCACTTCCCAGATGTTGGGGTGTGATCGCGCCCAGATAATCCACCCACCATCCGTGCCTTTCCCGCGGCAACTTTGCCATATGACCGGGGCCTCTGTAAACAATTTAATTGGATTAGAGTTGCAGAACCAACCAGAAGTCTAACAACAGAACTGAAGCAATGCATAAGTAGTAACATGACACATTAAACGATAAATTATGCAAAATTCTATAGCAGGATCCTAGTTTCAACAAGCTTTAAAAAATAACTTTCATAACAGCAATAAAGAGACAAAATACGTTATTTTGAAAAAGTTGGGGAGAGGAAAAGCAACCTTGTGGAGATTGCTGGAACTTACTCCCAAATAATTGTATATTGAATAATGCATTATAATGGTGATATATGTTGTTCTTTAAAGTGTACTGGTGTATATTGAATAATGCATTATAATGGTGATACATGTTGTTCTTTAAAGTGTACTGAACTGTCAGCCCCACCAAGAGACTGGGGTTTTGCTGGACCTTTTAAAGCAAGGTTCCAGAGAGACTGTTTGACTCCAAGCTCCAAAGTGGGGGAGGCAGGCTCAGGGTCAACACTGATAGGATCTGAATTGGCAGTGACTGAGTAGAAAAGATGCAAAAAAGGCAATCAAAATGATCAAGGACTTGGAAAAAAACCCCACAATAAAAGACTAAGGAATCAGAGGCTTTTTAGAGAAAAGATCCTGGGAGGGATTATTACAACCTATAAAATTGTGCAGGAGAAAGTTGATCGACCTTCTTCTCCTATAAAACTAGAATTGGTCGCACACTGAAATTGATGGGCAAATGTAGGACAGATGAAGAAGTTATTCACTTAACGTATGGGATTCACCACCACAGGATGTGGCGATTATTGGCTTAAATGACTTTGAACGAGGACTGTGTAACTTCATGGAGGAACGTATCCACGGTTTCTAGTCACGACAGAGAACGAAGACCTCCATGTTTAGAGGCTGTATACCTCTGAATGCCGCCTGTTGCTGGAGAGGCTTTGGTCCGTTCAGCGAAAAACAGGATACTGGACTCCTTCAATTGTTTTATTTCGCGCTCTGCCTGTGCGTCCAGGTCCTAATGCAGGAAATGTGTCTCCCTTCGGCCTCCGGAGGCCGTAGTGTTTCAAGGGTGCCCATACTGCAACTTCCCCCGTTGAACTTCCGCCTGTTGGCAGCTGGTCTCCCATTCTGGGCTACACTCTCGCGATTCGGACCGCGAGGCAGAGCCGCCGAGGTCCATTGGCTACCCGTCCCGCCTTCGCCTAATCTGGACCAATTGCGTTCTCGGAGGTCCCGCCTCCCCTTCCTCTCCATTGTCAGCCGGCCGGCCACGAGCGGCCCCGCCCCCACGTATCACGCCGTCGCGCGCCCCGCGTTGCCACGTGACGAAGCTCTGGGGGGGTGTAGCCGCGGCGGCCCAACGAAGTGATAAATAGGGGTGCAGCTGGCGGGAAGCGCCAAGATGGCGGCGTAGGGGCGGGTGTTACTTTTGCTCTGCTATTCCCTTCCTCCCCGTCCTTCGCCCCCAGAGCCGCCAGTAGGGCGGAGGCGTGTCCGCCGCTGGAGCCCCAGAAGCAGGGCAGCCCCGAGGAGCGGCGCAGGGAGGCGGCGGAGGCGGCGACGACGTGCCCTGCTATCGTCTCCAGGATGCCCAACATCAAGATCTTTAGCGGCAGCTCCCACCAGGACCTCTCGCAGAAGATCGCCGACCGCCTCGGCCTCGAACTCGGAAAGGTCGTCACCAAGAAGTTCAGCAACCAGGAGACATGGTGAGCGGGGGCGGGGAGGCCACGGGGGAGACACACAGAGAGAGAGAGAGAGCGAAACTACGATTCCCGGCCGACTCGACGGCGCGCGGGCGCTGACGGGAATCGTAGTCCGGGGAGGGGGGGAAGCGGGCTGCCCGCCGGGGGCGCGAAGCCTAACCCTGCCCTCCCCCGTGCCTGGCAGCGTGGAGATCGGCGAGAGCGTGCGTGGCGAAGATGTCTACATCGTGCAGAGCGGCTGCGGCGAGATCAACGACAACCTGATGGAGCTGCTCATCATGATCAACGCTTGCAAGATCGCCTCGGCCAGCCGCGTCACCGCCGTCATCCCCTGCTTCCCTTACGCGCGCCAAGACAAGAAGGACAAGGTGGGCTGCAGGAAGGGCTCCCGCGGATGACGCATGTTAAGCACCCGCAGAGTGAGGGAGTCTCCAAATAGAATGCGTCTCCAGCGATCAGCATCATCGCATTTGGTGTCTGAAAGAGAAGGGCTTCCTTGCGATCGGCTGCTTGAGATGCCCTGGGTTAGATCTCCAGTTAGAGCCAGAGGCAAGCCATGTGATCTCTTGTAGTTGCACTTGTGGGGATGTGCAAATCTCTCTTCAGCCAGTATAAAATGATCCTAAGCAAGGTGGAGGGTGAAAGATGGGAAACAGACCTGGTGGCTGGGGTCATCTAGGCTAGCGCAGAGGAAGAAGGGGCCCAGCAAGATCTGTTAGGGATGTATTGAGGCCAAGAGGCTGAGGACTGGTGGTGGAATGACAGCAGGGAGTGCTGTCATTGTGTTGTTCTCAGGCCCCCAGCAATTTGACACACAAAATGCCTCAGTTTAACAAGGGTAAGTAAGGTCTCCTTTGTGAAAGTAGACAGGCATGACCAGGAAAAGGAATTTGGTCCTTTTGGCCCCTTAGGAAAGAAGGATTAGGCCTTGGAAGTGTATCTGCAAAGCAGGGAGTGCAGACTCATGAAGTGGAGCAGTCTAAATAAAAGATCTCACATTCTCACTTTGTAAGAAAATCAACTTAAAAAAATATTTTATTGTGCTCTGCTAGTTTTCTGTTTTTAGGGCATCCATGCGTTTTGTATACAAAGAAATTTCCAAAACGAATCTGCGTGCTCTTTATCTGATTACTTCCCTGGTTGCCAGGTTAGCTGTTGTTGGGACTAAAACTTCTAGGGAAGTTCTCTTTGCAGGGAAGGCATGATCCATTTTCTGGTCTTCTCAAGAGGCATTGCCCCTTTCTTCAATCAGGGGAGTTGTGGACAGCCGTCCGAAAGAAGCCTGCTTCAGATTCACATGGCTGCTTTCTCTTTTAGAGCCGGGCCCCAATCTCTGCCAAGCTGGTGGCGAATATGCTGTCAGTTGCTGGGGCAGACCACATCATCACCATGGACCTGCATGCCTCTCAGATCCAGGTGAGCCATGAATGTCTTCCGTGCTTCTGATTTTCTCCTTCCCTTATCTCTGTGGCTGATCATCAAGCATCAGCTGTTCAGGACACAATGTAGCTGAACAGTAACCTGCTTCTCTGCCAGTGTCAAGACCCGGCTCTGACTTTGTTTGGATTAGGCCTGGTTTACACATGCTGAAGAATATGGTAGTAGAATGGACTGCACTATTTCAAACTGTGGGGAGAGAGTTTCAGCATTCCCATACAACTCAGTGCACATAGAAAACTAGAACAGCAAAGAGAGTGAGAACATCTCCCTCTCACCTCTACTGTGCTTAATTTCTTTTACAGGAGAAAACTAGAACAGCAAAGAGAGTGAGAACGTCTCCCTCTCACCTTCTCTACTGTGCTTAATTTCTTTTACAGGGAATCTCTGACATATGGGAGCATTCCAAAATGTGATCCATGACTAGTACTTTGCAGTGATTTTGTCCATTCTACCACCTCACAGCTCTGCCCCTTTATTCTCCTGCATATGTGAATCAAGCTTTAGAAGGCCAGGTGTGGCAGATGCCCTGAAACTCTACACCCTTCGCAAAAAAAAGTTTGGCTTCTCTCTTTTGGGCTGATGCTTCCCGAGGCATAGAAATGAAGTCTTACTCAATGGCCTGTTGCAATCTGAATGCCCTTTAGCCTTGCAAGCTTGGCCTTAGGGAGGCTGAAGTAGTAGCTTGTTAGGCGGATCATTGCTGTGCCAGTTCCAAATCAAAGTTGCAACCACGACAGTCTGGAGCAGCCTGCTTTGAAATCTGCTGCGGCTGCCACCTTACAGCATGCTTCTTATTTCCTCCATTAAAGTTAACTGGAAGTTGGAAGCAAGAAGCCTCTGGCTCTGCCAGATCTGTCTTGAGAACCCGGCTGTCTCTTTTTCTCCAAAGGGTTTCTTTGATATCCCTGTGGACAACCTGTATGCAGAGCCTGCTGTCCTGAAGTGGATCAAAGAGAACATTGTAGAGTGGAGGACCTGCACAATCGTCTCACCCGACGCTGGTGGAGCCAAAAGGTGATTGATCAGATGGATTGGGAGTGAGTGCCTGGAACAGCAGTGCTTCCTTTGGGTCCAGCCAACAGCGGGCATGCATGCTGCTCTAGCTATTGCCTCGTGCTGCTTCTAGTCACCTTGTCGCTACATTTTCTCACTTCAAAATGTACCCATCTTTTCATCCTTGGCTTCCATACAGAATTATTCATGTCTTCTGGGGTGCCAAATTCAGCTTGTTCTGGATGGGGCTGCACTCCCCCTGAAGGAACAGGCCCCAGCTTGGAGGAGCTCCTGGATAGGTGGGTGGCATCTGTGACCTTCCCTGGGCAGGAAAGATCTGGCCACTGTAGTACATCTCCTGGCAGCATCTCGATTAGACTACTGCAACACACCCTACAAGGGCCATCCTTCCAAACTGTTCACATACCTCACTTGGTATGTGATGCTGTAGCCAAGCTGTTGATTGAAGTGGCTTGTAGGGACTGTATCACTCCAGTCTTGGCCCATCTACACTGGCTCCCAAATCCTTTTCAGACCCAGTGCAAGATGCTGGTGTTGACCAGTAAAGCCCTGTATAGCTTGGAACCAGCATACCTGAATGACTGCCTGCTCCCACACAAACTACTAAGGCCATCTTCCCAGGCCATGCTTCAGGTGCCCCCTCTTCGCAAAGGCCTTTTGGGTGGCAGAACTGAAACTCTGTAGGGATATTCGTCTGTTCCCTCCTGTCAGTTTTCCACCAGCAAGTGAAGACTTTTTGTTGTTTCATCTGATGTTCCTTCAGTGATCCCTTCTTCCCACTGTATGTTTTAGCTAGTTGGTTTATGTGCCTCATATGTAGTTTAGTTCTGGCTTTAATTTTTTAAGTGTTTTCAAGATGTGTTTTTATTATGCTGTCTTTTAACTGTTAGCCATCTTGGTGGCCCAGATAAGGCAGAAAGGCAGCGTACAAAACTTGTAAATAATAATTCTTGCTACAGAAATGGACAAAATTGATTGCACACACTTGGAAAATGCAGTAGCTGTCAATGTACTTTGGAGATCACTGTTTAAGCACAAGGTAAAATGCTAGAGCTGGATACAGCCAAGTTTGAGCCCATCTAAAGTGGTCGTCAGGCTTTTACAGGCCATCTAGTCCAACCTCCATTCAGTGCAGGAAAGTCAAAGCTTAGAGCATCTCTGACAGACAGCTGCCCAATCTCTACTTGAAAATTTCCAGCGAGGGGCAGCCCACCCACTTCCTTAATCATTGTTGACTGTTAGCAGGTCTCTCCTAATCTTCAGGATGTGGGCAGGCAATTAGGTCAAAGTCTCCCATGGGAACAGGAAAAGCCTTGGCCTTTCTGACCTAGCAAATGGGAGGTGTGCCACATCCTGCTCCCAGGGCTTTAGCATTAACTACAATGGTTCATATCACAGGACTGAGACTCTGGAGTGGGACCCTTTGCTGGGAAAGAAAAACCTCCAAGCAGTGGGAAATCTCCCCAAAATGTTGTGTTGTAATTTGTTCACAGGTTACGTCCAGACGTCTGCTAGTTGGGGCAGCATTAGGTTTCCTTTTGTTGCTTCATATGTGAACATACAAAGCAGCGTCATTCTGACACATACCAATGGTTCGTTGAGGCTGGCATTGTGTGCTCTGACTGCAGTGGCTCTCAGTAGTCTTAGGCATGATATCCTTTAACCAGGTGCTGCACATTAAATTTGGGATCAGCTGCACGCCCAGCATGTGCTCTCTGACACTGAGCCCCTCCCCGGGCACACAACCTCTCAGGGCATGCACATGATGCAGCACCATTGCTGAAGCTAAACCGATCTGCTGGTTCCTGAATGACCCACCTTCATCTTGGATTCTGTTGAATTCCATGATGATAGAAGGGTGAGAGGGACATGCAGTAACGACAAATAATATAAGCTGTGCATCATGAAGGCCTGTGGAAGCTGGGCCTCACAGCTCTTTCAGATACAGATCTTCGGGGCACCATGTTCACTTTTCCTGTCTCCACAGAGTAACTTCTATTGCTGATCGGCTGAACGTGGACTTTGCCCTCATTCACAAGGAGAGGAAGAAGGCAAACGAGGTGGACCGCATGGTTTTAGTAGGTGATGTGAAAGACAGAGTGGCTATCCTTGTGGATGACATGGCAGACACCTGTGGAACGATCTGCCATGCAGCAGACAAGTGAGTGCTTTTCTCTGTCCAGGCCAACAGGCATGTAAGAAGCAGCTGTGGCTTAGTCTGCTTTTGGGTTCACACGGAAGGGACAGAGGCCTAAGTAAGAGTGGCTTCTTTGGGGGGTTGCCTCTGCCCTCCTTGGCATCTTACTTTTCTGTTGCCTTTCTCTCTTAAAAAAGATACCCAAGATGAGTTTGGAACTCACCCCCCCCCCCTTGTGTTTGAGACGGGCCTTAGAGTTGCTAAACTTTTTTTGATTACTGAAAATCAAAGCAATTGTCTCAGATGTATGAAGTATGTTGTCTCCTTGCATGCTGGGCTGTCAGTGGCCCAGCCTGCTTTGGGAACGAAACCCCTGGCTTTCCCTTGCAAGTGATGCAGACCTTGCCTTCTGCCTTCCTTCTGCATTAGGCTGCTTTCAGCTGGAGCCACCAAAGTTTATGCCATTCTGACGCATGGGATCTTTTCTGGACCAGCCATCTCCCGCATCAACAATGCCTGCTTCGAGGCGGTTGTAGTCACAAACACCATCCCCCAGGAGGACAAGATGAAGCATTGCCCTAAAATCCAGGTAGTCAGGGATTCTGTTTAAATGTGCTGGTGATGTCAGATAGGAAAAAAGTCCCAGCAAAGGTGCGTGGGAGGACCTCCAGGTTGGAGCTGACGGGCTTTCTCTGTTGTTTCCTTTTCCCTCCACAGGTCATCGACATCTCCATGATTCTGGCCGAGGCCATCAGGAGGACTCACAATGGCGAATCAGTCTCTTACCTCTTCAGCCATGTCCCTTTATAACAGTCAATGCTGCTGCTGCTTGTGTGGCTTTTTTGGGGGGGGGGGGAACCAAACCAAAATGTGTTGAATTTGTTTTCTGCTCGGTCCTTCCTCTGCATTTCCCAGAGCCTGGCAGGGGAGAGATGGAGGGGATCACTTCCGTGCTCTTGGATTGCTGTCCTCCCTGGGCTCTTGAGTGACTGGTGATATTAAGATAGTCTCACTCTGAGAGAAAGTAGAGCTGGCTTTGCAGACTGCCCTGGGGGGTGGGAGGGGAGACTTTTTTTGCATGTGAAGCTCCCTGGATCGTTTTGTATAGCTAGGTCAGGTAGCTGCTCCTTGGTGGAAGGAAGCTCCCGGGGGGGTGGGGGGGACACAGAAGGGGGGGCGGAAGACATGGGGGTCTTCCATAGGCTGCGGCTAGCTCCTGCTCCTTCTAGTCAGTCAGTCTCTCTCTCTCTCTGTCCAGTTCATTTCAGAGCAGTCCATCTGATTGGGCTGTTTATTTTTCTCCCAGCTAGCTAAACTAATTGATACGTTTTGTATTTTGGGCTTTGATGAGCAGCGTTCCCATCCCAAACCTGCCATATTGGGGAACCCTGCTTTTCTTCCTGTGCCAGAGGGCGATTGTGCAGTTTCCAATGCCCTGGGGGAAGACCACACCACATACTTCTCTCTCTCTTGGATGCTTTTCCTAGAGACCTTAGGCCCAGCTTTTATTTATTGGTGCTTCTTCAATGCTCCTTGTTAACTGTCATTCGACACTCCTGCAGAAGGCTGGAGGAGGATGATACTGACCCCGTCCCCAGAGGCAAACACATCACACTTGAACCCTGAGCTGCTGCCCGAGGCAGTCTGCGGCTGACCCACTAACCTGCCTCGTGAGAGAGAGCAGCAGCCTGGCTTGGTGAAGACTGGCTTAATCTGGAAGGAAGATGGCTTTAGCAGAGTCATTGGCATCTCTCAGCCATGGCTTACGTAAAACACTTCATTTGTGGGATAACAGTAGCGATTGTGAAAAGTCTCAGCTTGGGAAGGGGGTCCTCTTTAGATGTTGGGTATCGTGCCTTCTTATTACACTTCCTCTCTCCTGTCCCAGGGCTTTGGTCCCCTGGCAATTCTGTACCCACTTCTTCCTGAGCACGTGGCAGTGGAGGGGGGGGGTGTCTTGTGTCTCATCTGTGTGACAAGTCTGTGTGTGTGTGGTTGCTTCTTTACCCTGCATCCTTCATGTCGCCTCTCTCTCTCGAGCTGCTGCCCCTCCTCAGTCCTGGGCAGTGGCCCAGCGCAATGCTTCGGAAGACAGCAGAGGGGGTCGGCATCATATGTGTTCCTCCAGACCTCAATGAAGGAATTAAACTTTTATTTAAAAACTTTAAAAACTCCTTGAATTCTACTTCTCAGATTGAATGGGGGTGTGTGGCTGTTCCCCTTTTGGAACCCGCTCTTGGAAGAATTGATAGTCCAGCCTAGCTGAAAGGACTGGATGCCAGCCTAGGTATGGGTGGTTTGGTTCCCCTGCATTGAAGTGGAGGCAGCTCATTTTTTGGTATCCGAGAACAGGAAGATGGTGGGTGATCTGGACAAGTGGCAAACATGCTGCGTGGCAGCCCTGACTTGGATAGCCCAGGGAAGTCGGATCTCAGAAGCTAAGTAGGGCCGACCCTGAAAAGTAATTGGAAGGGAGACCTCCAAGGAATACCAGGGTGCAGAGGCAGGCAATCAAGCCACCTCTCTGAAAAACATCTGAGCCCCCAGTAGGGGTTGCCATGACTTGCAGGCATGCAAGCACACACATAGGCAAATACCCACAAAAAAGGGGGCAGTGTGGCCCAGAGTGGGAGGGAGAGACATGGCAAATCAAGATCTTGCCTTCAAGGCAGGCACAGCAAAGGGAGGGGTTTCAATTGTGTTGCACATGACTGGAAAATGGGGAATGGATGAGCCAAGAAGTAAGAATTCTTTCTTGATGCTGTAGGAGGATGAAGAGTCCCTGATCTCAGAAGACTGAGGGAGGGGGGCCGCCTGCACTATGTCCCACTGCCTTGGCTGCCCAGTCTCACAAATACTGTGGAGGCCCAGGTGACCATTGCAAAGAAGCATTAATATTGCAACGATGGAGCGAAAGCAGACCTGCTGCTCATGCCATAAGCATGGCTATGAATTTTCTTCCCTTTGCATAGAAGATTCAGAGCGTGGAAAAAGGTGCCTGGATAGAAATCACTGCAAACCCTTTCCAATGCATGTTGCAAGTGACACTATGAAGCACTCATGGATTGGGGGGAGCCTCTTGGGGAGCTCACTGAAGCAGGAATACCGTGGCGGCCATCTGTCTGTGGGCAAGGAGGAAACTTAGAACTGCCAAAGGCAATGCTAGATCATTGCAACATCCTTCACTTACCCAATCACCCTTTTCCCTCGTGAACAGTGGGGCTGGGGCTTGGCTTGACAACCTCCCTGCAGCTCCCCATTACATAAAACACCTCTTTTCCACGCAGCTGAAATCTTAGACTATGCTGGAGTGACCCTGACGGCAACTGAGGTCAGCATTTTTGGAACTTTCCTGTAATTGTTAGGCTGGCTTAAAGAAGCAGTGGCTTGCTCACTCCAGCACAATTCCATGGAAAGACTGTGAAGCTTTTGCATTGAATCCTGTAGTTTGTGTGTGTGTGTATTTGTATTTTGCTGAACAAGGCATGGGGTTTCGCAAGGTTTTCCCCCAGTGTACACCCCAGGAATGTTACTGTAAACACCCTGAGTGTGTTCCACAGCTAAGTGAACATTCTCTGTCCAAAGGAGTGTGCGCACACTTGAAAACGTATACCCAGAATAGAACTCTGTTGGTCTGAAAGGTGCCACTGGACTCAAACTTTGTCCTGCAGCTTCCGAGCAACACGGCTGTCCACCTGAGAATTTCCATCGTATTTGCATAATGCCGAGACATTCAGGGAAGAGGGAGCGGGAGGAGGAGGGGATTCCTTTGTGCTTTGGCTCCCCTGCCTCCGCGATGCAGCCCGCCCGCGAAGGCATCCTCTGCTTCTGGTGGTAAGGAAGAGGCTTGTGGGAGCTGGTCCTCCTGAGTAGCCACCGGAAGCTTCGTGGGATGGAGACGCCGGCACAGAGAACATCCGGCAGCACCGAGAATAAAGCTCTGCTTCCACTGCAAAGAATGTGAGATGAGCAGGAGGAGAAATTGAACTGGAGGGGAGGGGGAGACCAGAACTGGCCCTAGAACAACCAAGAGAAGGTAAGTTGTGCTTTTGCTTCCAGCCCTTGTTCCTTTTTTTAGTTCTAGAGGGGACTGGGGGACACCCACGCCACACCCATCCAGTCAGTGGCTGATTTGCGAAGCCTGGTAGAGCAAGAGGCTAGCTAAGGTGTCCAAAGACAGGTTGCCAGGTTTTGTGGAAGGGGAGGGAGCGGGCGTGGCTGCCTTGCACAAGGCTTCCTCTTGCCCCTTAGCCGAACCTGTAACAAAAGCCATGCCATACATTTCAATGAGATCAAGCAAAATTAACAGTGTGCAAGCCTGTAAGTTCTCCAGAACTCTCCATCAGGCCGGACAGAAGCACAAAGGGGAGAAGCATTTCTCAGGCTTTTGCCGCTTTGCATTCCTCCTCCTGTGTTAGGAGATTATTTGCTGGCTCAACAGGCAGCTAGCTAGTTTCAGGCTCTGCCTTGGAATGCTGGGAACAGAAGCAAAAAACGGGAACCCTCCAACTGAAACTAGTAACAGCCAATAGTCAATTATCTCTCTTGCCTCTGCCCTGCGGGAGATTAAGAGAGGCAACAGCCCATCTAATATGCTGGAGGGACGGCCTCAGAGCGGGGCTGTGGTGGCCATTCGAGGAACTCAGTTGGCAAGCAGGAGCATTTCTCTGTCTCACGCTGCTGCCTTATGTGGCCCACCCGATCCAGACAGTAGTTATCCTGTTCACATTTGCTTATGGTTATTCCACCAGTTATCTCCAGGCACAGGATGAGGTAGTGGTGAACTGGACTCCTGAGCCCCCCTCTCATAGGCTTGCTTTCTTCTGACTAGTGGCCACAAGGAAAAGGACTTGGGATGCAGAAGGAAGTGGGGACCCCTCCTGGGAACACTGGAAAGGTGGAGCAGAAAAGGGACAAACCCAGCTGGGGCTCCCGCAGTTACAATGTGGGGGCTGCCTCCTGTTTCCTCTCCACGCTCGCCACCTTCCCCATCTACAAGACCATCTTCCGCCAACAGCTCCATGCCTTTTCTATCCGGGAGGCCGTCCGCCAGCTGACCCAAGAGGGCCTACGCAAATTCTACCGGGGAGTCTTCCCCCCACTTCTTTCCAAGACACTGCAGGGCACCCTGATGTTTGGCACCTACGAAAACTGCCTTCACATCCTCTCCAGCCAGTCTTCTGGGCCTTACTCACTGGGAGACCGGTACACAGCAGGACTCATGTCTGGCGTTTCAGAAGCCTTGGTGCTGGCTCCCTTTGAGAGGATCCAGAATATTCTTCAGGACGGACGGAAGAACAAGAGATTCCTGACGACCCGCAGTATCCTGCAGGAGTTCCACTCCTATGCTCTGAGGGAGAGGCTGCTGCTGGGCTACTACCGTGGCCTAGGCCTCATCCTGGTCCGTAACAGCCTGGGGAGCTCCCTGTATTTCTCCTTGAAGGATCCCCTCCGGGACAGCCTCTCTGAAAGAGGCTTGCCCCACTGGCTCCCTGCCCTGGTGTCCGGCAGTGTTAATGGCATGCTGATTTGCCTTTTCCTGTATCCTCTCAGTGTCCTTATTGCCAATGTGCAGTCTCAGGTGGGGAAACAGGAGATGCTTCACTTCCCGGCCTCGGTGACAGCTGTCTGGGCAAAGCATGGGAGGAGAGTGGGCCTGCTTTACAGAGGCGGGTCCCTCCTTATTCTCAGGTCATGCATAACATGGGGTCTCACCACAGCCATCTATGACTTCCTCCAGGAGAACACAGTCTAGGCTGGAGACTCGCATGGTCCGTAAGGCAGGATCTGGAGAGGGGAACTACCGTGGCTCCCCAGGGAGGGCAGGGGGGGAACCAGAGATGGAGTGCCCTGCTTCCCCACCTTCCCTGCAGCCCATCTGACTTATTGCTTGCCACTGAAACATTAGCACTCCACTGCCACCACCTGTCACACTGAGATCTGAGGCAGAGTCTCAGGCCCAGTTTGGCCTCTCTGCCTCACACACTCAGTTAAACACGCAGCCTGGCTCAGTTAAGAGCCGGCATGCACAAGACCTTGTCCTTTTGCGCCCCAGTGACATGTGGGTGACACAGGCTCTCTTAAGCAATCCATTCTAACTTTACTTGAGGAAAACAGCAAGGAGGGAAGGTGGATGCAATTACTTGCTGGGGAGAAATAAAATAAAGAAGGAAGAAATGCATACACACAGGAGGATGCAGAACAAATAAAACAATATAGAACACTAAAGGCAGCCTGACTCAGCTGGTGCCCTAATTAAATGGCTTACAGTTCATAAATCCTGAGCCATATCGACGTGACACAGACCTACTCCTCTCCTAATTAAATGGCTTACAGTTCATAAATTCTGAGCCATATCAACGTGACACAGACCTGCCCTGTCAGGGACTCCTCTAGCCCAGCCTTGCTTGCTTCTGGGAAAGGCAAGTGTAGCTCTCCCTTCAAGGTTTTATCAGATCTTCTATACTCATACCCCCTTGCACAGATAGATGCCCTTTTCCTGCTGTGGCGAGTACTAAGCTTATCCATGGTTTCCTTTCGGAAGAGAAAACCTTTTGCTCCCCCTGAGGCTGCATGGTTTGCTGTCCTGTTCCTATGCTTACTAGTAGAGAGGCTGTCCAAATGGACAACTTGATTTTGAAGCTGAATTTAAATGGAAATCATGGGGACTCATTTCAGGAAGTGAAGCCCATTCTGGGACCTGGCTGGGGGTGAAAGGTGGAACCTTGGTCAACAGTGCAAGATTCATACAGAAACCCAGATGGAGGAAGGCACAGGCAGCCAGGAGGAAGATCATGCAGCCAAGACTACAGTTTCTATCCAACTGTTCATGTCTTTTTTAAATTAAGCAAGTACCAACCAGGTTATTAGGGGTATCAGCACAAGCGCTTCCAAAAAATCTGAGTCAGCAGCCTCTGTGGCTGAGAAGGGCTGTTTGAAGAAGGCGTGGAAGCAGGAGCAGTTGCTGGGCTTTGGGTGCAAAAGGAGGCCTGTGACCACCTGCCTAACCATCTACAAAGCTTTGCTGTGATGGACCTCCATGAGAGACAATTCACATACTTGTGGGGGGGGGGAACAAAACACTATGTATCCAAGAAAGGACTGGGTAGAGGGACAAGGGTAACAGAGAGAACCCACATAGCTTACAGGGGGTTACGCTGGTTGAGGGGTGGCAACTTTCTACTAAGAGTCTAAGTGCAGTATTACTGTAAAGCTCCATTAATAAATAGGTTTGAGGGGCTTTGTTACAGCACCTGCTTAACATGCAGAAGGCCTCAGTTCAGAAGATCGGGTAGTAGGTGATGTTCTAGACCTCAGCCTGAGACCCTGGAGACCCAATGCCCCTCTCAGTAGACAGTACTGATCTAAATGGGCCCAAGGCCTGATTCAGTATAAGGCGGCTTCATGTGTTCAGTTTTCCCTCCAGAGAGTGACACTTAATGCTCTTGGAGGGGAGGGGGACACCACACTTGGATGCAGGCAGGAAAATCTGGAGGAAATCCCCCCCCCAACACACACACAGCCGCCTCTTTGCTCCTGTCCTTTAATATGTGCTGTATTGATAAAAGCTCAATATATTCTGGGCTGCTCTCTCAGGCCCAAGAACATCTCCCTCACACACTGACCAACTCTACAGTATAGCTGTAGCATATGCCTCAGGCTGCTATGTGAAGCATGTCAGCTCAGAAGGCACTCTTGCGGAACCGGGGATCCGCCTTGAAGAGTTCAGGCAGAGAACTAGGGTGTGGGGAATCTGAGGAGGAGCCCAAGGGCTGCACTGACCCCTCCCAGGCCCTCCCCAGGGCTCTCCAGCTTCCTCAAAAGGGACCTGTCTCCTGTGAGGGAGGATGGACCGACCAAGGCAGCCCTGTGGGAGCCCTTCCTGAGATCCACAAGGTCCACAATCAAAGGATATGTGAATGAACGGGTGGAGGGCAGCACAGTGCAGATTTACTGGCTGGGGGAAAACGGTGTGGTCCATGGCATAGAATGTACCTGCTGGGCTAGTAACCTGCTATGAAATGGAAAGTCTGCTGTGACTTAATGAACTCAGGAAGCAAATGACCCAGTGAAGAACTGCTGCATGTACATCTGGATTACTCTAATAAATTGATTGCCTTATCTTTGGTCCTTTCAAGGGACTGATGACTGTGCCTGAATTATTGACTTTTAAGGTAAAGAAAATGAATTGTACAATTGCTAGGATTTCTCTTGTAGTGGATGGCATGGAGAAATAAATTATGCATTAAGTAAAAAGTGATTTTGATTAGTTAATTATAGCTCCCTATGGTTGATACAATGTGTAGTCCACAACATTATCAAGCTGCACAACATTTTTCTGAGCGGAAGGCAGTTCCCTGCCCAGAGGAGGTTACATTACAAATTTTGAGACAAGAAAGCAAGACAAGATGGAAGAGTGGACCAGGAGAAAGACTGAACTGCACCTGCTTTCTGGGAGGCAATTTAAAGGACAAGGAGGGAGGGTGGTAGACTCATTTGACAGTCCAGAGTAACAGAACTGGAGAAGCAATGGTTAAGGGGGGGGGGGGTTCTTCGAATGTAATGTCTTCGGAGCATCGTGGCTTCGATATTGTTTGGGAAATGTTTGCCTGTTTTCTTATGTTGATAACTGGCCTGGTGGGTCTTTGGAATCGTGCCGGTTAAAAAGGACTAAAGATATCCCCAGACAACATCTTCAGGAAGAAAACAAATCCACCGTATCGTCGCCAGATGGCGCACAAAACACTGAAGGAAGCACAGAGTGGGGAAGCAGGGGGGCTTTATGGGCAACCGGTGGTATGGCGCAGGAGAATACCTCTTCAGTCCTTTTTCACCTATGAGGAGGCGGGGCTTGTTACCGCAAGGCACAAGACAAGCGAAGGAGGAGTATTCTTTCCCTTCCGATCTCATAGTCATGCCCCCCCCCCGTTATAAAGTTAAGAAAGACGTAGCCTAAACTTCCGGCACGAAAGCGAAACCCTATGGGGGGAGACTGCAGTGGGATATACTCCATTGTGCGACTACCAGACGAACTTGTAAGATCGCCACTCCCTGCCGTCCTCTCCAAGGACCTGGGTCTGCCCCCCGCATCCTGGAGGTCAGCACTCCCACGAACCCTCGTTCCTACAACTCGGGGTGTGGAAGAGTAAACTGTACTGGAATCTTGTGCTGGGAGAGCCCCTCCCCCTTGCTGGCCCCTTTTCATGGTCTGCTCCGGTTCCAAGATGACGTTCCTGTGAAAAATCTTCTTATCTGCCGTCAGTAGTGGCTGCATGCGGGCACGCACACACCATTCCCCCAAGCTAGCGAGAGCAGTTTTGCCCCTTTCAAAAGTGCGACAAACACTTGACCCCCTCCATATTTAGCCTGCTTTACCAAGCCGGTGGAATGGTAACTGAGATACCATGAAGAAAAAGTCTGTTCGTCCGACTTAGTGATTGATACGTAAGTGCGTACAGAATCGCACACGTACGCACACCTTCCCCACCATTCAAATGGCCAGAGACTGCGCGTCTATCTGGATCACAAGGCTAGTGCTTGGCTGTCTGGGGACGATCCCTAAGACTACTTTCCGAAGGGCTGCACTGTCAAGGGCCGCTGGGGGGGCATTCTGTGCACTAAGTCCCTTGACTTCGCGGCAGCAAAGAGCGAATTTTCCTAAGTAGGTCGCCCGCGATTGCGTTGCAATAGTTCGCCGATGGCGCTTTGCGACTCGTAAAAAACCAGAATTGTCGCTCTATACATTATCAAGAGTTCACGTTATCACGGCAGCTGCAGCATATGAAATGGCAGGGGAAGAGAGCACTGCAGCGTGCCTCGACGCTCATGCGCGCGCACTTTCCTACATGTGGGCTACAGACGAGATGCAGCCACGCACGCACCCATAGACGCACGCCATGGGGAGAAAGCTGGGCACGGGAGAGCGGCGACTCGCGCCTTTCGCTTCTGCAACAGGCAGGAGCCGCCACCGGGTAAGGACCAGGTCTGGGGCATTCCCTGGTGTACCGGGACAGGCGGGTCTCTGGGCCGCGCCAGAATAGCAGGCTACCACTCCACGTCCTTATCTCTCGCTTCTTGGCGCGCTCCTGACTCGCCCACGCAGCCCAGCAGTGCCGCGCCCTCCAGCCGGGGACGCCCTCCCCCGCAGCCTCCTGGGGCGCGTAGTTTCATCTGGCGCGGTGCCTGCAGCTTGACCAGGCAGGCAGACTACATTTCCCGGCGTGTCTAGCGCTCTGCCGCGGCATATAAAGGGCTGTTCCAGACACGCTGGCTTTACAGCGCTCGAGCAGTCTTAAGAGTCTCGTCGGACGTGCCTGGAGGTAAACGGGGGGTTTTTTGATGGGCGGTGCCCCGAGGGTGGGCAGGGGAGGGGAAGAACAGGGACCCTTTCTTCGTTTGTCTCTCCCCGTCTGTGTGGCTTCCCTTACGGGCGCGTCTCTTGCGGGCTGTTTCTGGGCGCGTGCTCCTTCGTCCCGCCTTTGTCTTCGCGGGCGTGGCGGGGAAGGGAGGCTGGATGGCCGCCGAAAGGGCCGCTTTGTCGGGCCACTGGGCGGGCGGGGGGAAGAGAATGGGTCTGACGGCGTCTCCCTGGGTTTGCAGGGGATGGGGGGCTTTTTTGGATTAACACCGGAGGGGTGGGGCTGAGTCCTTCCCACCCCACCCAAAGCATGCTCTTTGCACCCTGGATCTGTTTGGTTTTTTTAAAAACAGATGGCGCTGGAAGCTCAGTGGGGCTGGCCCTATTCTTTTCCCCGAATCCTTTTCTTGAAGAGGGGCTCTGTGCTGTTTTCCCGGGGCGCCCTTTCCGCCCCCGCTGTCCGCCCTGTCTGGCAGCCTGGGGGTCCGCCGTGGATGCAGGGGGAGGCTACCCCTTGGGCGCTCTCCCGGGCTGCTCTCCCCGTTGACGCTGGCCTCTTTTGCAGTGGTGTCAGCTTGTCTTCCTGTGGTCAAAATGTGTGACAAACCCGACCTGTCTGAAGTGGAGAAGTTTGACAAAAAGAAGCTGAAGAAAACCAACACGGAAGAGAAGAACACCCTTCCTTCCAAGGAGAGTGAGTGTCTTTGGGGAGAAGAAGTGCTTGTAGGCCCAGAGCTTCCACCACCACCCCCCAGCACCAGTTTCCTTGGCCATGAGGCAGGAATCGGTCTGGCCGCATAGGTGTACGCCTTCACCACCCAAGTAACAAGGGGAAATGGGTGTGTGCTGTTGCACAGGGAAAATGGCAGGCGGCCATGCCTGTGGGCTGGGAGCTTGTAAAAGCCAGAGTCCCAGGCTGCCTCGTCTCTGCCCACCCACCTTCCTTTAGCTTGGGTCCCAAGGCGTATGGGGCTTGGTTAGGCAACAATGCAGTGGTGATGAAGGGTGGGAGAGCAAATGGGAAGGGGCTGCTTGACATCCCAGGTTGTTGGCTGGGCAAGGTAGGCTCTCCTAGGGCAGAAGGCTTGATTTGAAGGTCAGCCTCCCTCACCTGCAGGATTCGAGCAAAGAGGCTTCGTTCTGGTATTCCCAGGCCCGGTTGAGTGGGGCTGCTGAGTGGCACTGGAGGCTCTTGCTTCTGTTTACTTCATCGTAAAAGAATCTGGCAGTCAAGAAGAGCTCGAACGTGTCTGGGCTTCTTGGAGCCCCGCTGCGGGGCTGCCTGGAGCTCTGTTTGCTCTTGAGCATGCCTCAAGAGCTGCCATTGAACTTCTGCAGCCCCAAGATAAGTTTCCCACTGCAGCGAGGCGCTCGGTCTCCCCACCAGCTGCTTGAAGGGCCTTCCCGAGAGTGCGATGATGCTTCAGCCATTTCTCAGTTCTCTTGGTCAGGTTGCCAGCTTTTCCACTTGAGTGCCAGTGGCCTTGCCGGGGCAACTGTGAAATGAGTGTCTGTGTGGTAGGGATCAGAAATGTCTTTTTTTTGGGGGGGGGATGGATGGTTTAGCAGAGGGTGGGAGCCCTTGGCCACACTGGTTTACAGAGTCCCAGAAGCACGGGGCTTGGTGAATGGTTTCAGGCCACAGGACGTTGACTTGGGTTTGCCCTGACGAACCCTCAGCCTCTTGTACTTCATTGCTGATGAAATGCTTTGGAAAGAGGCCTTGCACTTGAGCGGCACAGTTGTCAGAGGCGTTTCAGACCGTGATCCCCCTTTTTTTCTCTTCCAGCTATTGAACAGGAGAAGGAATGTGGGAAGACATCATAGAGATGGCCGTTGATGCGAAGTGCCCATTCTCTCTTCCTCACTCTTCTTTGCGTTAACTTTTTTTTTACAACAATGTCTATTGTATTAAATGCTGCAGCTCCCATTGTGACCATCCCACCTCCACTGCTTTGGATCCCTTGGAAGCCGTGTCACCGGCTGGCTACTTCTCCCTTGCGCAGCCGCTGCCTCCTCCGGGTGTTGATGTCGCTGCCTGTTTCAGCAAGGAGAGAACGGAACAGTACAGAAGAGGGGATCCGGGGCTCCCATGGCTCAGACATCTCTCCTTCCTGCCCCGTCTAGCCCAGTAGGGCAATTTCAGGGGCTGAGAGACCTGTCCACTGTATTTGCTCACTAATTGTTTTTGCAGCTCTGTTTGATTTGTCTTCCTAGAAAATTAAAACTTGATAAAAATTTTAAAAAAAGCGATCTCCTGGTTGTCTGTTTGCCTGGAAACAGCTGAAGCATTGCAGAACTTCTGCTGTTTCTGTTTCAGATGTACTGGAGCCCCTGGTGTAGGGAGGTTCAGTTTTGCTGCGGAAGGATTAGCGGTGCAACCCGAAGCTATGTTCCACCCTTCTAAGTCCACTAACTTAAAAAGAGTGTAACTCCACTAGGATTCCACTCGGCTTGGGGCAGCCAGTGAAAAGAGTGTAACTCCACTAGGATTCCACTGTTTGTCTCTCAGCTTGGGGCAGCCTGTAAGCAAGTGATGAGTGAGGGTTGTGGCGTCCATGAGCTCATTCCAGGAGAGAGTCTTCTACCATGTACAATAAGGTGGCTTGGAAAATCTAGGGCAGTCGCAGCTTGACAGCTTCTCACGTGCTTTCCAATACTTGGGCTTCTCTTTGGTTGAGTTTTTCCAGGAAGTTTCTGCCTGTAACACTTTCTTGCTCAAAATGGGTCTCAGATGATCCTACAAGTGCATATAGATGGAAAAGCTGAGTTTAGGATTCTATTCACAAAGTCCCATTGGTCTGACTTTTGTGTACTTGAAATTATTTGAAAGCAGATATGAGCTGGCATACTCTTCCCCTCCCAAAGTTTTCAGTGTAGACAGCTTAGTCATTGGAGCACTTGATTGTGTGCTAGGGTGACCTGCCATAAGGACTGTCAGATCTCGTTGTCTGTTTATCTTGCATAGAGTTAGTGTAGAGAACATAACTGACACCTAACAGAAACCTGTTTAGGTCAGCCAGACAAGCTAGCTGCACACAGCAGAGTTGTGTATAATTCACTAGCTGTAATGGACCTGGCCAAGGCTCCAATGTGCCCACCTCCAAGTTTCACTCAGCCTTTTGGGGTGATTGGTGGCAGTGGGATGGAAGGGGACCTCCACTGGAAAAATGCAATGAGGTACGGTGGAGCTCCCGATCTTCCTTACACAATGACCGAAACATAATATCACATCACTTCAGTCTTCATCACACGTTACACAATGACCGAAACATAATATCACATAAATCTAAAGGTGACTTCAGTCTTCATCACACAGTGACAGCAACACCAAGTGCGAACTTGTATGTGCTGAACAGCCATCCCAGACTGAGCCCGCTACAACATACTGTTTAAGTACAGGCTGTTTGCATGTTCAGTGAGTGGCAGATAAGTGACTCACGTGCATGTGTGAATCAGTCCTAAAACTGAAGCTCTTGCTAATAGCCTTTGGATGCCTGTCGGAAGAGGCTTGTGGTAAGTATTGCTTTCATTATTGACTAGTGGTGCTCTAGGTGGAGTGCCTGCCTCTTTTAAGTGCCTACTGGACCAACTCCAAGATTGCAAGGTCCAGGTGCAAACCCCCCCCCCCCTACATCCCAGCAGTGTGGCTTAGGGGAAATCAAAGGTAGTAACAAAAGAATACTGTGCCTCTGTGCTCAGAAGGTGGGCAGCTGCAAAGTGGTAGAGGATAGAGGGGGCAAAGGCTGCGCTTCGTCTTTAGCAGCAGGGAAGCAGTGGCCCGGTTATAGTAATGTTTGGGTTTACTGTGATCCTAAACAAGTAGGAAGTGAGGAGTTTAAAAAAGAAACCACGGCTGCTTCATGCATGACGTGTCTTCATGTAGCAGAAGAATAAATGCCGAAGCGATAGTGCCTGTGGCTTTCCTTTCTGCATACAGATTATCTGCACAGAAAAAGCATGCGTCAGAAGTGGCCTTGTGATCTTGTGGAAATGGAGTTTGGAGAGAGGTTAGATTGTGGACTGCACAGGGCCGAGGTGGAGCAGCCAGCCACCTCTCCCAGGCTCAGCAGTAGGTGTTTCTGCTGCTCATGGAGAGGGGGAGGGAGGTAATAGACGTCAGTGTGTAAGCAGCACGCCAGGATCTTAACTGCCCCCTGTCTACAGTGGTAGGTGGGAGCTCAAGCAAGCGGTTTCTTTACAAATGTACATTGCTAAGGGGGACTCTCCAGAGACATCAAGAAGCTTAAGAAAAAGGAAGCACCTGAAGGAAGTGAGAGAGCAGAAACCACAACTTGCAATAAAACTTCTCCTTGGCCTTCATTGTGTAAGTAAATTAGACTCGCTAACTGCAACCCATTGTGGGTTTCTCCCCCTTTGTGGGGAGAAATACCTAAGTGTTGCTTTTATCATATTTCATAAGCTCTTTAAATCTATACGCACTTCTAAGTGCATTAAAAATAATAGGCAAAAGCAGCCCCACTTCTCATCAGGGCTAGTGGAGGGAGAGACAAACTTTTTACAAAAGGAGAAGTAGTTTAGCACCCGGAGGGGGGCACTGGGTGCTCTGTACCCTTGGAAAGGGCTGGCATGAGAAACTAGCCACTGTGCTGCTTTAGTCTCTGCAGGCCCACTGAGGAAGAAGGAAAAGGGGCTCTTAAAAAGATCAGACTTCCTTTTTCTGGTCTTTCTTGAAACTTCCCTGGGTTTTACAGACAAAATGATGATTCCTCGGGCATGGGGAGGCAAGCTGGAACATGCCCAAACCTGTTATGCCCTGTTATCCGTAGTCCTGCCCCAGTCTGGCTGAGTCTCAGAGAAAAGACTGAGTAAGGACCAATAATATAATGAACCTTCCAACTGGGCAGGCAACTGGAGAGCATTGATTCCCATCTACCTTCCATGAGGCAGCAGTCCCTTGAGCTCACCTTGAAGCCTGGGGCGGAGGATATGAGTGGCAGGGGCATGACCGAGCAGGCCTTTTCCTCCACTAACCAGAGAGCTTGCCAAGGCTTCAGGGCATGCAAGACTGTGCAGCTCAAAAGGCTCTACCTAGGATGCATCATCTTTGCAGGACAAAGCCATGGCACAAAACTGGAGCTCCAGTTGCAAGGAACACAGCCACAGCTGTCTGTGGAAGCCACTGTGCAAAGGTGGGATGAATGACAGCACAATAAATGGTCTGCTTCCATTGTGCCAGTAAGCAGACATAGGCAGTGCTGTTGCTTTCACCCCTTATTTTCTGCATATAGTAGAGATGAGCAATGCCAAGGACTTCTGTCCTGCAGTGGCTATTTCCATCCCACCTTCTCTGGCCAGATAACTTCCTGGTAATCAGGGAACTGTTTGGGGTTGAAGGTAAGTTTGTTGAGGACTTAAGACTGAGCAAGAGAGAGCTTGATTCCACAAATCGCCTGGTTTATCAGGCTGAATTAAAATGCCTAGCAGTAGGAACTTGAAAGGATCCCCAAGAAGTCCTGTTTTGATGGGCCTCCATCTACCCTGGAGAAACTTAGGGTGCACGATAGCTCTCCAGATAGTGCCAGGCAGGGCCGTAGTCAGGATTTTATAATTCGGGGAGGCTTTAAATACATCAGGGGGCACTGACGTCACAAAATAAAATATTCTAAAAACTCACTTTTGGAGCATTCGCATTATACCTCCCCACGTGGGGAAGCAAGCCATGCTTGGGGAAGGGGAGGCAGTGAGGAATCCTCTGGGTGGCTCAGAGAGTTGGTAGTCCTCCAGGTGGCCCAGAGAGCCGGGGGGGGGGCGCGCTGAGGGCTGGATGGAAGTCAGAGGGCCTTGGCAGGAGGTCAGGGGGGCAGGCCCCGAAATGCCCCACTGTAGCTACAGGCTTGGTGCCAGGGCTGTAAAGTTCAAACTGTTTCTTCCTCAGGATCCTGACCAGAGAGATACTAGGAAAGCTGGCTTTGAGAGACAGGCTCTGGTCATTGGACTGCACTGTCAGAAGCAAACGAAAACTGGAAGCAGGCTGCTGGAGAGCTTCTTCCAAACATTCTTCCCACAGCCCTGGTGCAGGGCTTGATTGCCAAGATATGCAGTATCTACCCTCATACTCAGCCTCTAGACAGCAATGTCAAGGCTGTAACGGGTGGGAGTCTCACCCTGGCAGTAGCTATCCTCCTGGCAGAAGGAAAAATCAGAATTGAAGGTGAGGGACGGAAGAACCTCTCTTCTTCTCCCCTCCCAGCCTCAGATATCCGTGGAGTAGTGCCATCATCTCATAGGGGCAAACATTGGCCAAACGATCGCTTTGGTTGTGCAAACCATCCACAAGCAAAAGTAGAGCACAGCAAATGCACCTAAACTACCGGTGTCCTTTGCTGGGTTGGTCTCTCATAGGTGGGTTTCCTAGGCCCAGAGTAGGACAGCATGCTAGAGATAAAAGCGGCAGAGGAAGGCAATGTTGTAACAGCAAATGAAAAGTCCCTGTCTCCGGAAGAGGGTTTGTTGGCCAACAAGGGCTTGGTGTTGATTGCGGTACCTCTCGCTTCCCCTTTTGGAAGTGGCTGGGCAGGCCTGTTCGTCCACCTTGGTGGGTAAATGGCTTCAGGGCAGGAAAGGTGCTTGGGTTCCTATGTGGGGCCAGCATCAATCAAGGCGACTCAGGCTGCTGGGTTTCCTGTACAAAAGCTTCATACTTCCTTTAGCCTCTGCCTACCATTCAGCCTCATGTCACTTAGAGGACAAGCCTAGACCCCTCCACTGAAAGGCTTAGGATGGCAAGTAAGCCCTGTGCCAGTACAGCTGGAGATACACTGGTGCTGTAGCACTGCCAGGATGGTGAAGCTCTACAGTAGAAGTAGGCCTCCCCAGCCCCCATCAGCCCCTTGATAAAATGTAATGGCAGCAAGAATACATGGCTAAGGAGTGTTTCTTTATTTCTCTTTCTGTGGAGCAGGCTTAAAATACTAGCTAGGCGCACCATCACCCTATCGGTGACATCCTTGTGTCAGGGTCTTTGGATGAGGCTGCCCATCACCTATATGAAGGAAAGGACTAGATAACTGCTGCCACCAGCGACTCTTGCGGGTATCTCAAACAGAATTGCATGTCTACACACTGTACTTTCATTGAAATTTAAAAGTTTTGCCCCTGATAGTGCCAAAAAAACTAGATAACTGCTGCCACCAGCGACTCTTGAGAGTATCTCCTGTTAAACAGAATTGCATGTCTACACACTGTAATTT